ATATTTATATTACATATTATATATAAATGTCACACATTATATTATATATTATATTATATGTTATATAATACAAATATACATCAATACAATAAATAAATAATACATTTTATATATATATATATATTATATTATGTTAAATATATATATACAAGTGATTCTTAATTCTATATGCATATAATCATATAAAATATTATTTATATGTTACATATTAATTATTATTAATATATAATTTATATATTAAATATATAATATATATATAAATAAAATATTATATTGTAAATAGTGAATAGTGGGTCCGCATGTGAAAACAACTACACGGGAATGTTTCCCCACCTCAGTAGGTGTGGTTTTATTTTACCATGAATTAGACTATTTCATGGTAGAAGTTTTTACCATGGTATTTTATTTGCATAGGCATTTACATTAACCAAATATATCAAATGCAATTTACATATGTAAATATTTCATGTGGAATATTTACGCGTGAACCAAACATACCTTTAGCTTCTAAAGTATCCCTCCAAAGTTCTTTGCATTTATATTGTCTCTAGTCCCATCAATCAAAATCAAAACTGTGTTATTTGCAAACAACATATATCATGGGACCTCATCTTGTAGATGTCCAATAAACTCATTTATAATTAAAATAAAGGTATATAGGTGCAATACTTACCCTTGATGTAATCTTATTATCATTAGAAACCCACTTGTCAATCTACTAGTTATTTTCACGTTAGTTAGCCCTCCCTCATACTAATATAATATATTATTTTTCAATTAATATGTTCTCTTTAACGCTTGGCATCTGTTCCTTTGCTCTTGTTGCGTTAAGCAACTACCACACCCATATCTCTCGTTGCATAAATCCATTGGCATAACTTACGATATAGATATATCAACACACATAACAATAAAAGCTTGATCATCTAAAAAAATATCATCAAAATATCCTTTTGAAATTTGATCAAAAGGATGGTGGATAATTTGAAATGAGATAAAAAAAAGTATGGATAAGTTGTTAAATATTTAAAAAAAAAATAAATCCAAATTGTATTTTTTCAAGATTAAGAAGATGAACCATTAGGAAAATTTCAGTAATTTGACCTTTAGAGGCCTAATAAAATGACAAAAATAACATTGATGTTCAGGATTACAAATAAGGAATACAATAGTTCATGGTTCTCAATGAGGAATAATTAGGAGTATTTATATTATTTGATATATACAAGGACAAAAGTACCCTTGGTTGTTCAGGATTACAAATAAGGAATACAATAGTTCATGGTTCTCAATGAGGAATAATTATGAGTATTTTTATTATTTGATATGTACAAGGAATTTATTTATTTTTTATAATGATATACACAAGCCATTTGGCGCAAAATAATAAAAATACCCCTAATACTTACTTCCTCATTAGTAATTTAGAATAATTTGTTCCTTAGTTGTAATCATGAATAAATGATGATGATTACTTGCAAACATGAAGCGGGGTGCTTTTGCTAGTTCGTTGAGTCCTCTCCAGGTTAAACTACTAACGTATAGGGGTGAGGCAGATCAGGATCGGATCCGGTCAGATTTAAATCCGGATCCAAATGATATACATCAGATCCGATCCGACTTCAGAAAGGATTCTAGATATTCAGATCCGAATTTTGAATCTCATGTTTGGGTTTATATGGGGATCTGAATAGAGCAAGAAATCCGGACTTTAGATCAGGATCCTACTTACATACAATAGAAATCTTTTTTTTTTAAATGAATAAATTTTTTTATTTTTTTAAATAAATAAATGAGTCAGATGAAAATAATATAATAGCCCTTCAAATGGAAATCCCATTAATAGTTCTGGAATGATATTTTCCCTATAAAAAAATATGTTAAAATGTTAAAACCAATGGTTTAAAAAAAGGATCGGTGACCCGGATAGGGCTTCCAAAAAACTGATCCGGACCGGCGAATCGACGATCCGGACCTGCGAATCGACGAGCCGGATCGGGAATCGGGTGAATCAGTCAGAATAAAGCTTAAAAAAAATCCGAAAAAATTATTAAAATTCATTATAAATATTGTTTTTTAGGAATTCAATAAGAAATGAGGGTACTCCATTAAGAATTTTTATGTTTTTGAATGAATATGCGAATATTGATATGTTCTTTCTCTGCATGAACCGCCATTCAGCATTTAATTTACATCACACAAAAGGATAAACATATTATTATCATGGAATAAGTATATCAACATACATGGACTACAATAAAGCATAAAATTAGTAACATATGATCTAAAAATAAAATGATAGACGACGTTATTGTTCTTCTTGGTCACGCT